GTTCTAACTCTTCAATCTTCTCTTTTGTTCCAATAAGGTTCTGTTAGACTGGGGTTGACTGTCATGTGTCAGAAATCAGAGGGGCAACCAGAGGTGTGTGTTACCCCTGATTTACCCCAAGAGTGGCTGGCTACTCTATTGTTTATGATTTTGGGTGTGGTAGCTCTGACACTCACTTGCTTTTTGCTACTGGTGTCTCCCTGGAAACCTTCCATTGTGGATGCAGCCAAGTGGATTGTTTTTCTTGGAAGTAAGTATTAAAGATTTGAAGATTGCAACATGAATTTCTGAACATTGTTGGTACATGCCAGAAGTTGAAGAATAATCTTTGATTTGACAAGTTAAGTTTCATTTTTCTTATATGTATGCCAAGGTTCAAATGACTGGAAGAGTTTTTTTTTTTTAATTGGTTGATCTTTTTACCCCTGTGAACGTATTTCCTTCAAATGATTATCACAAACTTCTCCATTTGCTCTTGTTAATTTACCCTACTGCTACACATCATTCATAGTAAAAGGTACCAGTCTGTTATAGTTTATTTGCCACTTGTGCAGTAGAAGTATTACAGACTGTCATGATGTGTATTTACCCTTTACACTCTAACATCAGTATGTAAGTTCTCCATACTGTTCTCTATACATTTCCTGTGTCTCTTATAAGGAGAATTTGTTTAACAATCAGGAGCTTCTTGAGCTTGCCATCATTTCCTCTATTCTCATGAACTTAATGTTTGATTCAAGGGTGATACTGTTGGGAGAAATTAGATGCTTAATGTTAGAAATTTCTTCATTAACATGTTCCTTTTCATTTTGTAGTGATAGTGTTCTGTCTGGCAGCCCTCACATTCCCAATGGGATTTCAAATGCCAGAGATTGGTGGAAAACCATACAAGTTACCACAAGGAACACACGTTGGACCTTCATTTTTTCTTTATATATTTTGTATAGTTTTCACAATTGCCTCTGAACTTTTTATATTCAAAGTTTGTCCACTCTTGCTTAGGTAATGAAGAAAAAATATTACATTTTGGGTGAGAAAAATGCCAACAAATTGCTCAACAATACACAATATTGGAGTAAAAGAGGCCATAGATTTAAAGAAATTAAGGGTAACTGTATATGTCTATCTGTTGTTATTCTGCACTTTTGCCTTTAAAAGTAATTTTTTTTTAAAAATAAATTTACTTTAACAATTTAGATAAGACAGGCTTTCTTAATCCTTTAACTCCTAGAATCTGATTGTTGATTCTTCCCTCTAGCTGCCGCAATTTTCTTTGTAAATTATTTATATGAATTTGATGTAAGATCAAGATGACAATATCTACCTGCTAAGCTTGAGTATTCTCAGTACCTGTTTGCTGGATAATTTATGGAAATTATAGGGAGAAGTTACTGGTACACGTTTATGACCTCTGGGAGTTAAAGGGTTTACTTATAAAACTCTTGAGTAGTGCTGATAAGTTTGAGTATTCTCATTACCTGTTTGCTGGATAGTGTATGGATATTATAGGGAGAAGTTACATGTTAATCACCTCTGGGAGTTAAAGTGTGAAAACTTTTCAGTGGTGCTGAAGTATAAGGCCATCTCAGGAAAATGTTGGTGTTGTTTCTGATGAATTTTCCAAACTAAAGTTGAACCTTATAGGGCAACACAGATAGTCATCCAGTATGTCTGAACATGCAAAAAACATTCTTCAATTTTATTTTTAGAGTATTATTTATTTAATTTTGCCAAATTCACTGTTGACTTACTTTTTCTTAACAGCTGGAAAGTAACACAGCAGCAACAAGTAAATGAACCTCATGCTCTGTTTAGTGATAGGAAATGAAACAAAAGTTTCACTATTACTAGTTCAAGAACATATACATGTACATTGAACTCAACTATGAATGTAAAGTTTTCACAGCTGGTACTGTCTTGAGAGGTCAGCATACATAGTTCTAATTTTAGATTTTCAGGGAAACTCCTATTAAGGAATCAACCATGGAAACCTTGTTACACTAAACTGAGTAATAGTAAGAGTGAGAATGTTTCAGTTTGGTTTGGCATCAACCATACTTATCAACAGCTCAATGTGTTTGCTGGATGTAGCCTTGTTTAGACAAAATGGCTAGTGTGTCCTTTTTATTACATCCATCTTGAAATCATTGCAATTCCTTGCAATCTGATTGGCTCTCATCAGATTTATTCACAAATAGCACCATTTTTTGCTCTTAATGACATCTTTTCCTCAGCCAATGAGAGAACTCAAGAACCAAACACATTTCAATGCTTTTTCAAGGTACCACTCAAATTGCAGGAAAATGAAATACAACTTTAACAACATTTTACAAACCAATTCAGTACTGGATCAGTAGCATTTGTAAGGAGTAAAAAGTTCTATATTTTAGCCACTGAATTTTCCTATTTCAAATTGGATGTAATAAAGAAGTAATTGAACTTTGTGTTGTGCAAGTTTGGTCTGAAATCGTACTTGTGATTTCAAATCAAACTTGTGCTGCTTGCTCGTTTGATATTGAATTTGCCCTCCACTCAGTTTAATTACCATTATATACAGGGTGTTTCCTTAATTTGAGGTTCCCTTTATACAAGTTTCATAGTGTTGTACATGCATGTGATCCTATGAAGGGAAGCTATTATTTACATTGAAAAGTATTTATCTTATGCATGGGCTTTTGAATCTAGGTATTGTAACTTTGTACATAGTGTTACTAATTTTAATGAGATAGGTTGATTTGTAACATTATTGTGTCACATGCAAAACATTTTCTTACTTTTACAACACTTCAGTTCAAACTTCAGTTGAAGTGCATCTGCAATGTGATATAACCTTGCAGGGAAGGGTTGTTGTCAGTTTAATTCTTCTACCTAAGAATTGAAAGTTTTCTGATAAAGTGAAATTGCATTAATGTCACCCATGCAGTTAATGTCACCCATTAATGGAAAAAAGTCAGTTTTCCTTTCTAGCCACATTTAAGCCAACCAAGAGGATATTGAAAATTGGTAGGCAATTAGGTATATCGGCTTGTCCAAGTTATCTCTGTGTATATTTTTTCTTTATTTATAGGGACGCTTTTAACTGCAGATTTCAATTAAATTGTATTTTTAATAGAAAGTTGTGTTGCATTGTATACCTGGTTATACTTTCAATGAAATGAAATGAAACACAGGCTAGTAAAAGCAAATATGGTAAAACTATTAGAACTGGTGGTAAACCAGAAATCTTGAGATGAGTTTAAAATAAAGCTGTCACCAATCTCCCATACCTGTGTCCAAATGTGTGCTTTTTCCTGCTCTCAAAGAAACTTATTTTCTGCTATTAAATCTGCAGTTGGTTTTTAACATATGGATAAGGCCAAACATCCTGTTAACCTATCTTAAACACATAATTTACAATTGTCTTAACACTCAAGATCTGATTGTCAATTCTCCTTTCTAGCTGCAACACATTTCCTGTTAAACTAGTCAGGTGAATTTGGTGTGAGATCACAATAACAACTACCTGGCAAGTTTGAGTATTCTCATTACTTGTTTGCTGGATAATGTAAGGATAATATGGTGAGAAGTTGCAAGTCAGTCACCTTAGGGAGTTGAAGGGTTAAAACTGCAAGTTGGCCCTCATTACCAGTGCTTGGGCACAAGTATTTATTTCATGATGTGGGAAAGTATGAGCCTTGAATAACATGAGTCAGCAAGAGGTCTGCAAGGTGTCTAACACTGACTTGACTCAAATCTTTCCTGGAATGAAGAAAGGAGTCTCTTAAGCAGTCACTTCATTTCAAAGGCTGCTTTCCTTTGTACCATTTTGCAGCCAATTACAGGGGTTTCAATAATAATTTGCACAGGTAGTTGCTGATGGTGATGGGGTGGGAGCCTGTAAAATTAACTGACTGGTATGGCAGAACAATCTAAAAAATTTAACTCAAAACAGACAGCTGTAGGGGGCTTTGTATTGCCATAAAAACTGTGGTAAATCACCGGTAACCTCTCCACCTATCACCGATATAAGCTGAAAGCACTCTCAATCAAATTTCCATCCCTACTTTTCCACTGTATCTAAATCCCAATTTACTATCATCAGCTACTTTTCAAAATGGATTCTTTTCCCTATCACAAGTACTGATTAGCTGTTACAGTTTTTTTGCTGCTAATTTTCAAGTGCTTTGATCACCTGTTCAGGAATGTTTTGCTGGTATCACATGTAGAGAGTTATTAAGCAGAATTTAAAGTTTAAGCAATTGACCTGCAAAGCTGCTCTCCAACACCGTCTTTAATTAACCAAATGTCTCACCTAACACTGGAAAACATTTAATAACTACAAATAAACTTACTTAAGAATAAAATCTCCTGAGAGGTGCTCTGATTGTTCAAAACTGTAGCCTGAGTGGGGTTTTGTTTTGAAAACCTAACCAAGGTGAAGGGTCACATTTATAACATCAAACACAAACAAGCTGTTTATTTACATTTTATTTCACTTCATGATGTAACAAAATTTCTACTTCAACTCCTTGACAGCCAAACCTGTAATTAAAAAGAGACATGGTCAATTATAGAAGAAAATCAACCAAACAAAACATACAGGGCCCACTTGCCCAGAAAGCAGAGAAAAGATGGCTTACTGATAATTAACCTTTTAAATCCCACGAGTGACTCAGATAGAATTTCTCCTTGTAATATCAATACAATATAAACCAAATAAGTGATAAGAATAGAGAAAAGTATCAATTTGGGGATAATTAGTAGATTGAATACTAAATTCTCTGTACTAACATAATAAGAATTGTATGGTAGACAGTAAGGAGAATTACAAATCTGATCTGCGAGTTACAGGGTTCATAAGTGCAGTAAAAGATTATGTTGTAAAAAGCAAGATTTGGTTAGAAGGAGACCTCCTGAAATGACACACATGAACAGGGAAGACCTACCTGGAGGAAGTGACTGCTTCAGTTTATCAGCCTTCTCTTTGTCCTGGATAACAAGGGTGTAGAGATAGCGGCTGCATCGCACCTTAAACTTAACTGTATCCTTAATCTTCTTTATCTTTACAGCTGTAAAAAGTGATAGCATTACAATTTATCTTCTCGAAAAAATGGCATTACATCTTTGTTAAGAGGAGGTTACTTTGTATATAAACAAGGTTTGGGAAGGCAGTTTCAGACTTGCACAGACAGCATTGAAAAACCAAGGTTGCAATTTAATTAAGCATTTAACAAAATCCTTTGAAATTCATTTTGAAATATTTTAGGAAAATGTAAGAATATTTCAACATTGCAAAAGACCACAATATTAAAAACATACATACTTACATGTTATCATATAAACTGAAAATATAAAAATCTTCCAATTTTGCATGCAGTAACTGTAATATGTAAGGGAAAATTTTTAAAAAGATATGATTTTCCTCTGATCTTCAGGTATTAGTCTGTCCATATGATGAAGTAATTTGATTTAGTCAGTTGAGTTGATAACATAAATTGACTACTGTAAAGAGTTTCAAAGCCAATGTTTCAAGCATTAGCCCTTCGTTTTGCTCTGACAGAGGGCTAACGCTTGAAATGTCAGTTTTGAAACTCTATACAATGGCCAATTTACATAATCAACTCGGTTGATAATATCAAACTAACTCATAAAAACAATAACCTCTTTTAAGAGACCTCGTTATACTCTCCCACTGACGCTGCCCCACAGTTTCGTAAGAAACTTACCCCCTTTATTCATTTGTCCTATATGATGGTTATATCTTGCTCAATATGCATTTCTCTTTTAATAGTATACATGGAAAATTTCTGCATGCTAATTGGCAAAGAGAACGCCAATCGATCTCTAATGATTTCGAGTGCAGTTTTCAGTACAAATACAAATCATATTTGCACAAGCACTTACATTCCTACGACGAAGGATGATTCGAATACATTATGGTGCAAAGAAATATTGAAAGGAACGGTTGATTACTCACATTTGGCGTCCTTTCTCCGTGCCGTAAGGAGAAAATCCTTAATTTCATGGATCTGTTTAGGCTGCAAAAAGAAATAAGAAAAAAAAAAGGGATCACCGAGACGTTACTAAGCTGCCAAAGCTACCGGTTCGGGCTTCATACATGGAGTATGCTTGATAACTTAACTTAAGAGTTAAAGCTTGAGTAGAATTTTGGAACTTACCATTGTGAAATGGACGTGACAGAAAGATGCCTACAACACAACAAGATAAAAGTTCACGTTACCAATTTAACCGAGAATAAAAACCAAAATTTTTCAATTATGAAAGATGTAATGAGAAAATGCACGGTAAGATATGATTTATTTAAGAAATATTGGTATGATGTCTAAGATATAACAGGATTTCTTTCCCTCATTTCACTACCTTTCAAGCCAAGTCAAGATGGATTCCAAGAGATCGGATTTGGTACGTGCGCCTGCTTTTCAATCGTGCAGCGGATGCTACATGAATCAAAATGGCGGAAAAGGGTGCAAGTACGTGGTAGTAACTTTTCAAGGTTTTATTTGATTTTGATTGAAGTGGATGCATAATTTCTCTTTCTTATTGTAACTTCCTCAGATCTGGTTAGAAGGAGACCTCCTCAAAAAGAGCAAAAACGTCGAAATGACATATACGTAAACAGGAAAACCGACTTTGCTGGACAACTAGAGCGATGTCAAAAGATCCTTGATTCAAGGTTTGCTGTAAATAGGCTTGATTAGACCACTTTTCGAATACTTTGATTCAATTTTGTTTTCACAAGTATAAAAATTTGATAATAATTTAAAATCAGGCTGTGTCAGAGGCCTCCAAGGAATTTAGGAAAAAAAGAAAAGTTTACTTAATTAAATTATTAACATAAATATCAGCTGTAAAAAACTTAAATCTAAGATATAGAAATGCCTCTAGTTTTTTGTATTGCCGTTTTTAAAACTCTGAGTTATTCTTGCTTCGTGAAGATTTTTACGTTACTGCAAGTTTGCAAGGTTCCCTTTGCGTTGAAATTTCAGATTCTAACTGTTCTTTTCTATTTGAATTTCAAAGATTGCGCGACATATGCATCTCTTTCGTGCTTTTTATTCGCTGGATTTCCATTTCTCCAGAACCACTCCGGTCAAAAAATTAAACATGTTTCAAGTTTTACATTTCTCCTTGCATGCAAATTAATTCTACCCACATTAAATATGATTAAAGTATAATGCAATGGAACTACACATTATAAACCCAATAAACATTCTTCTACTTGCAAGTTTATCTGTATGTTTATCTGCTGCATGTGTAACATAAACATAAAAGGTTATACATGGATTACTGGCAGAGTTTTAGGATCAAGATCTCACACCAGGATACATACACCAGAAATCATTCAATTTGGAGGCACCAGACAAATTTAATGTGTACAATAAAGATATTTAAGGTGTTTTGGGTTAGTCTTACAGAAAGTGTAATTATTGATACACCTAAGCTTATTTTCATTTCACTGCTGTAATTTTTTTTGTTAACAATAAGTGCTTTACAGTGCTATATGCTCTAAGCAACAACTATTTTTTAAAATATATAATGCCAGTTTTGGTGCATGGGTCCCTGTTTTAAGAGTAACTTGTGTTTTAAATTTGACTGACCAGAAACGATATGTGACCAAGCTAAATAAATTTGGCTGGTCACTATGTCTGGAGACTCTCCAGAAATGATTTCAAGCCCTGATATACACAAAGCCATACAACTACTTGTCTAAAATTTTCAAACAAACCTCTCTATTTCAGTTCTGTTTTGTTTTGTTATTTAGTGAGCAAGAGGTGACTATTCATGGCTTGGGTTCTGCTATCAATCGTGCAATAAATCTAGCTCTGCAGCTTGAACAAAGAGGACAAGGAACTGTTGAGGTGACTTGTAAGAACAGTTTCTTCAAATTGTTGATAGGTAGCCTCCTAGAAAGGGAACATTTTTTAACACAGGGGGAATGACACCTATGAAAGGGCAAGAATAAAACACAGGTTACAGGTCACAGATGATGGATTGCAGGTCATGAGGCACAGGTGAGGGGTCAAGGGTCATGGCTCACCATTACCTGTCAAGAGAGAATTGCAGAAGCAGTTGCCTTTAAGTCTTCTGTGTTACAACAATGTAATAGGTGACAGTGACCATTGACATTTGACTGGTGATGCAGGACCTGTGTTTAAGACTTGAAAAAAGGATCTAGCCTGCATGGCTAGCAACCCAGGGTGTAAGAGGGGGGGAGGGGGGAGTAAAGTTAGATTCATACACATGGAACAAAGAGAGCATATTCAATTGGTATGATTTCTGCTTTTTTCTTAAGTAAGGTCTTCTTTCCTCCCAAGGAGGGTAGGCTTGTCTCATAGTTATCAAGGGTTATAGACATTCATTCAAGTGCATGACAGTTAACTTACACATAGCAATTTTTTCTTTTTCAGTTATCAACAACAACGTCCAGTGTCAAACTAGTGGATGACTTTGAGCCTGAAGATGATGTAAGTATATGAAAAATAAGATTTATCATTCCTGAGTACTCAAAATCGATTGTGATCAAGTAAAAAGTATCCTATCTGATTTTTCTCATTTGTATAACATGGCAACATCAAAATCCCAATGAGGTCATAAGTCATCGTGAAAATTCCTCCATCATGCCACTTTTGTCACCACTGGAAATTGTTTTCCTCTGTTACTTTTTCTTTCTCTTCAAAGACTTACGGAGTTTTTGCTGAGTGCCATTGTCATAAATTCAAATCTGGTAAACTTCACCCACAAATGTTACAGATTGCAGTACAGTAATGTTGAAACATGTCTTTTTCAAATACACATTGATAGTAGTCATTTTTTTTAACATTTTGTTGTTGATTTCCAGGACCAGGAAGGATATTCTAAAGTACGAACCAACTCAGCAGTGCACATAAGAGTTTATAAGAAACCTATTTCCAAGGTTGATTCAGAAAGAACTTGTCCAACTTGAATCCCTACTTTTGGTAACCAAGAGGTCACTCTTTTTCACCAATGGGTCCTTTTCCCACCAAAATACTGTTGAGAAAAAGCCTGACAGATTGAAAGTTTTATTTATTGTTCAACACCTTTGAACAAGTGTTCAGAAAGATTGAGTACTAGTTCCTGATCTGTGCCATTTCAAAGATGCATTCAAAGCAAACAGTAGATATGATAGTATGGTTCATGTCTGTAAACCAAAAAAATTGTTATTGATAGCTAACGGGAATGGCAGCACCTATTTGCAATTGTAAAATCCTGTGGCTCCAATATTTTTTGCCCTCTGGAGGTTGATATGAGAGACAACTACAGGTTCAAAGACAGAGTAGTCCAAGGTTTATTGACGTGTTATCTCCAACATCTGAATGGTGTGTAAATCAGACAGATTGGATCCACCAATGTTCCCATCATTTGCATTAAATCCCTCCAGTGGTATTTGGATACCTTTTAGTCCCCATTTTTTCAACAAATCTTCAATGGAATGACTGGAACTGCAACAAATTAAAGTATAAATTTTTAAAATAAAAAGGTGACATTAATCTGATGTCCAAAAATGTGAAAAAATGGTATTTAATTAAGACATGTTTTAGCAGAGAAACATTGAAGTAGTTTCCTGATTGGCTTTTTTTGGTGGAAAGACAATAACATTCCAGAAATATTTCTTAGTTCATGGTATTCTGAGTTTCACAGTAATTTTAACCCTTTTAACTCCCAAGAGTGACCAAGACAGAAGTTCTCTTTACAATATCACTACTATATCAAGCAGACGAATGATGAGAATAAAAAAATATATTAAATAGGGAATTGTTAGTTGATCCAATAACAAATTCTCAAATCTAACACCAAAAGAATTATATGGCAGACAGTAAGGAGAATTACTAATGGGATCTTGGAAGTTAAAGGGTCAAGAAGACAAGTGATGAGAATAAAGAGAAATATCAGTTGGCCAATTGTTAGTTGATTCAATACTGCATTCTCTGAACTAACATTCATGAGAACTGTATGGCAGACAGTAAGGAGAATTACTTATGAGATCAGGGAGTGAAAGGGTTAAATAATGTTGTAAATAGAATACTGTATGAAAGAATTCACCTTCTCTCTTGATATGTTGACCAAAACTTGGCCTGATAATTTTTCACCATTAGAAAGGAGACAGTTGCCAAAATGTCATCAAAATCTGTATCACAAAATTACAGAAAACAAAGATTACATAACTGTAGTCAGAGAGCAACTCAGAGTTTTGATTCAGTGGTGGGGAAAGTAATGGTGCCAAGTTACCTTTTGTGTCATAGAAACAGTCTGAACCAAGAATTATAGCAGCCTTGGGAAGTTTTAAAAGGTTTGGTGTAAACTGTCCCCAGGTAATGCCAACAACTTGTATTGCCGTCTGACCATTAGCATGGCAGCTCTGTCTACAGTTTTCTAAGCATTGAGGATACTCTTCCTTGTCTGTCAGAGTAACATTTGCACCACACAATGAGGCAACCAAACCAGGTAAGGCTGTTCCTGCACCAATCTGTTGATCAAGTAAAGAAAAGGTAATCACTAACAGTGGATGCAGACTTGTCCAGCTTACAAAACAGTCATTTTTCAGAAGAGTATGATTTTCTCATAAAGGACATGCCTACTGGGCAAGTAGCATGTAGCTCTGCTTGCCTTAAATACGCTCCACAGAAATCGCGCATGTCCTACATTTTACATGTGTCTGGACTAATTTAACCCTCTTATGCCTATATACTCATTAATTCTCTTTACCGTTGGTCAGAATTCTGATGATGTTAGTTTGGAAAATTTGGTATCGTAAGATCAACTGATAATATCTGAATTAATATTTTTTTATTTAAAACCTTTCACCCTTTTTCCAATATTGTAAGGAGAAATTCTGTCTGAGTCACTTCTGGGAGTTGAAGGGTTATGTCATACTTATTTTGAGGTCTTTGCATAGCTTAAGTTTTAATAAAGGGACAGTAATCTTCCATTATTTCACTTTCACATCCAGTCTGGAGTATTATCAAAATTCTCATTCTAGTAATGTCCTGTGAGCTTTGTTTGTGTTCAGAAATTCAATACTGATCTTCAGGACCATACTTGAATTTCTGAAGTTGCACTGAAAATTGACATAAAACTTCATTATAACTCACTATTGTGTCACTCTTGCCAACATCAACAAATTATCTTATCAAAAATTTTTTATGACTATGACTATGTAACCCTTTCACCTCTGAGATCTTGTTAGTAATTCTCCCTTACCCTGTCCGCCGTACAATTCTTATGATGTTAGTTCAGTGAATTTGGTAGTTAAATTTACCTCCACAACGTGTTTTCCTTCTACTTGATCTCTATTATACCAAATATATTGTGCAAGAACTGGAGCTGCTGGCCACGTAAACATTCCATACTGAGGGTCCACAATCTAAATGTGTTGAAAGGAATTTCATCTAAATTAGGCTGACATTGACTACAGCTGTGTTGGAAAAGCATAAACTATATAATAAAAATATAAACAAGAACTTCACTGATCTTTACCTCAGGTATCCGCACTTCTATTTTATCGCTATTGAATTCGTCTTTAAATGAAAAAACCCGCTCAACTTGCATTAAGAAAGATGATGAAGAATGTCCACCGAAGAGGAAAAAAACAACTAGGCGTTCTCAGGAGGTATTCAAGACGACTGGATACGAGTGTAGTTTACTGATTACCAGTGTTACGCATAATTCAAATCCAATATGGCGTTGTTGTCGTGCGTATGTGTCCGTGTGAGTGTTGTTCAGCTTGTGTTGTGTCAGAATACTGTTTTGTTGAAATTTTTGGATAATTTTGTGTTTTTTCATATTGTGTTGTAAGCATATAGGTGTTTTGTTGTGTATTTAAGTGTGTGTGTTTTTTTAAAATATCAAACACTCATTGGTTTATCTGACGCAAATATTGCGAATGATCTTTTATTGCTTTTAAATTGACAACGACCTCTCAATGTTTGTGGTCTTTACTCATATGACACCAATATTTTGGTGCATGATTTGAACAAGTCTTTACAAAGAGGGCTTAGTCGTTGTCATCCTTACATTAGATATGTTGGTTTATGATGACATACAGATCTGAAACCAACCAAAACATATTAGTCGGTCAAGCCATTGTTCTTGGACTGATTTCTCTACTCTATGTTAGCAATCAGAGTAGATCATTAACATAATGATCCTTCATTATTTCTGTATTCCAAATGGACGCTGTAATTATTCTGGTTTTGGTTTCACAACATTCAAATACGCTTCTGTAGAGTAGGAGACTTCCACTACGTTTTGATCGCTCTAAATGGTAACAGAGTGGACTTGACTTAACTCGACATTTTTCACTTTGCACCCAGCCAGCCATCTCGAGTTTTGCTTTTTCTTGATGTAATGTTCACGATTTCAAACTTTTCGCGTCGAATAAAAAAGTCTTTTAGGAGCTCAAGGTTGTCAAGGTGGTTTACAGCTTGTATAGGCAAGTGGTCATTTTCTTTGCATTAATTTTCCTAAACTGTAACAAAAGCAATCTTTTCCGCTAAAAAGACCGTCAAATAAAAAGTGACAGTGGGTGACTTTTCAATCGTCAAGTAAGATATATAACATCATCATAACATTTAAAACTAAAGTGATGGGTTGACGGAGACTACCACATCCAAGATTGTAACCTTCCGTAAGTTTCCTTTATCCATGACTTCCTTTCTTAAAACGTATAAATAACCTTTCTTCAGTTAGATATTAGTTCTGGGATGACTTATAAAATGCAAAAAAAAAACTTACGTTTAATTCAAAGATGTTTACGATCTATTGCAGTTTCTTAGGGGCATCAATTTGCTTTTCTAGGGCAAATCAGACTTTCTTTGTAAATGCTTCCCGAAAGGATAAGGAAAGTTATCGCGATACGAGTTGAACGGTACCGTATTTTCTACCTCTTATACCATAAGTTTTAGTGCTGGAAAAGATGGCATGCAGAAAAAAGCTTAAATTGTTTTGACGTTGTACTGATGGAATCTCCTGTAAAGCTCACTTGCTACTTGTTTTTCTTTACATCATTTTGTTACACTTTTCCATTTTTTCGACCTGGCAGCCAACAGAAATTGATTTAAACCAAGAGCTTTGAGATGTGATTCTGGACACAGCTGAGGATTTTGTAGCTCTTTCCTTAAAAACACACGGTTTAGGAAACTTTTTCTCAAATCCGTAGTATCAACCGTGCCCTTGTCGGCTAAGAGAAGCAAAATCTTGATCTCAGCATTAATCAAAACAGAAGCCCATCACTCCCTCAGGAGTTTATGACAAACTCCTAACTTAGGCCACATTTCAGGTACGTTGATATTTTTGAGAGAAAGTGCGAAGCGTCTTCGAGCGAACACGGCAGTGATAAAAGAGGCATACCATCGTTTTGCCTAAGTTTATTATTCTAACATTTTTTAAACAGAAAACTGCTGCTCCACGGATAAAATTTGATTTTGGTATTGAAAGATGTCAACGTCTATGAGCTCTGTGGTGTATGCCATCTTTCTTGGGGCCATGATACTATTCAACATGGTAGGTAATTCAATGGTCTGCATTGTCGTATTAAAGAATAAAGCCATGAGAACCTCGATCAACTGGCTTCTGTTTTACCTGGCCATTGCTGACGTACTTGTTGCAGTATTTTTCACACCTTGCATTCTGAGCCATTTTATCAAGTTGCCAAGTGGTATCGTTGGAGATATGCTGTGCAAGTTCCTGATGGGTGGGGCCTTTGGTTGGGCTTCGGCTTCAGCCTCGAGCTTTTTGCTGGTGTTGATAGCATTTGAGCGCTATCACGCCACGTTACATCCTCTAAAAATGCTTTCTCGTGGTCGTTCCTTAAGGCTTGTTCCAGTGCTCTGGATCGTGGCAATCCTTCTGGCCGCGCCAATGGTATTATTGTTTATTTACCAGAAAGAAATTCAAGCGTGCGAGATTGTCTTCCCAAATTACTTGACGTCCCGATTTTATCACCTTATTTGGTCATGTTGCAACGAGTTTCTGCCGATATGCATCATGGGATACCTATACACAAGAATTGTTCTGTGTCTCCGCGAACGTTCCCTGATCTCAGCCTCCTCTCAAACTAAGGTCTTACACTCCAGGCATAAGGTAACTAGGATGCTCATTTTGGTGTCTGTTATCTTCGTCCTTTGCTGGACGCCTTCTGCAGTCCTCTGTGCGCTGACCCCGTTGGTTCCTGGTCATCGTGTCACAGTGGATAAAGTGGCGGAAGCGAGTGCGCTGTTGAATTCCTGTCTCAATCCACTGTTATACACCTTGCATAGTCAACAGTTCAGGAGGAATCTCGCTTCGCTGTTTTCTTTCTCGAGAAGAGAGAGAAAAACCAAATAGGTTTATTTGGCCCTCAGGGAACGGTCATCATTTATCTCCGGAGGGGGGGGGAGGCGGCGGAGGATTTTTGTTATTTCCCGATAAAATTTACCTGATCCCCCCTTAAAGCTTTGTAATATTCTTGTGATCCCCCACTCACTGGCAGTCAGTCAGCAATCAAGTTTCCATTTCCCCCCTTTTTACTCTGTTGGCGACGACTGATCCCCCTTCCGTCCCCCCTGAAAACCATGTGATCTCAACATCCCCTCCCTACTTCCTTCCAGGCGATAAAATGATCACGACTGGTCTCTTAGGTAAACTGATACATTTTGTAACTCTTTTTCAACACCTTTAACGCGTGGAATCACAGACGCGATGGACTTGTACAAAAATAGCTAGAAACAAGGTGACGAGGAAAAAAACGACAGTATCATCAAGAGTGTTTTCTTGATTTAAGACGAAAAGCTTGTCACTAATTATCGACAACGAAATATGTTACGGTTAGCTTAAAGGATTGGTAATCATATCAAGAGAGTTAGAGTTGCCATTTACTAAGGGTAACGAAAAGAAAGGTGATAGGAGATAAGTTAAAAACAGTAAGTATTTTCAAAATAACTGATAGAAATTGGGCAGTGCAATCAGCTTCAAACTCACAGTAAAAGGAAAATTAATGGGAAAGCAGAAAACCATATGCTGTAGATATTTTAACTCAAATAAAATGCAAAGTATAAGACTAATGAGGTGAATTGGTAAACCCAGTTGTACATGAAGATTGTTAATGAATCTTTCTCGGTCAGTATGATGCAATGTAACTAAGGTAATTATTGTTCTGATTGATTTGTTTTCCAAACGCAGCACACCAACCGATGTAAAATGGTTCTGTGCCCATGGCAGGAACAATTTCCAGCTTCGACTAAATTTCAGTGTTTTCGGTAATTTTGAGCTTACGAAAGTCAAAGAAAGAGAAAACCAAATGAAAAAGTTACCCAGCATCTTAAAATCCTCACCTTATCGTGGAGGGGAAATAAACACAGCAAATATCAAATAGAAACGCTTAAGGACATTTTTTTACCACGCATGAATATGTATGCAGGAATAGTATCTATGAATATGTTAAATAGAGGTGTCAAAGATGAATTTTGGTCCGCTCCCGGCCTTAACACAGGTAGTGTGGGTTTCCATAGCAATGGGTTGAGACATCTGGAGACTTCTGGAATTCCCTATCACTGTTCAGGAAAATTTAAGTGCGTGAATTTTAAACGTCTCAAGTTTAAATTGCGATCATGGCTAAGATCCCATAACGTATAAAATTTCGAGACGTTGAATTTTCAACAATCGACGAACGATGCTCGCGTTTACGAATGAAGGATGCCCGTGAACCCCGCCAGCTGCCTATTGATATAAATTAAAAGCCATTCATTTTCAAAGCGAAAAAATAAGTATGCATTTCAACAGAAGCTAAAAATAAAAAATAGCCCTATCGAATCAGTGGGGTACCATAGACGGACAATTGTTATCAATTCTTCCGTTTCACCATACGCATTCGCGTGACTCAGCCTAGCCTACGCTTCTCTCCATCCGCTGAAAGGAAATGGAAAACACTGCCATGCAAGCCTATGAAAGAGGCTCAGAGAAATATACTGTGGTTTGTCGACATTTATTCCGAATAAATGATCGCTGATCATGTTCGTCTTTTTACCATTCAGTTAAAGTGAGAGCAATAAAGTGTATAAATTCATTTTGGCCTCCGCAGGACGGCATCCAACTCAGGCATCAGTTGCAATTCGAAAGTTGCCAATCACAAAAGCGGCACGTTTCATATGTCCTGTGTAAATTGTTTCCATATCCTTCTATTTTGTTTTACATACCAAATTGTTATTGTTATAGCTTCACAGAGTATAAAAAAAATATCAATCAGTATATTAAACAGCATATTTAAACGTATGTTTAGACAAGGAGAATGAATTTAAAAGCTTGTTATGCCGAATTTCCTCCAAAATTCTGAGAAGTAACTGCGCTTACTCTTTTAGGTATATACAAATTTATTCATAGAATTTTCGTCATCTGTTCTAACGAACTCATTTTTCAGACAACTACATGACCTTAGATAACCATACATAACTTGAGCTGAGGCTTTTAAGAATTTTGTATTTCGTTCTCACCAAAGCTAAAACACATTCTAAAGCTGTTGGGTTAAACACGGCTCAAAATGAAAAAAAAAAAAAACAAACTTGTAAAATACACCGACTGTTAACT